CAGTACATTATAAAAAAAAATCATGGTGGGGGGGAATGCAAAAAAAAAAAAAAAAAGTCAGTGACCATCTATGATTGTCCGTACATTTCAGTGCTCTTGTGGTGAGAAGTAGATGGGGGAGGCATTTGTGTAGCCAAAGCTTTGGAAATCTAAACCACTACTGATAGCAACGACAGTGACCCCATGTTGAGTTTTCAGAGGAGGGACATCCCAAATTTTGTCACACATTGAGAAATGCGTGATTCCAGCAGCTCCCCGATGTAGTAGCTTCAGAATAACTGAAAAATCTTTTTTTTTAAATCCTGCATATGGGATAAAGGAAGAACCCATTATTTAACTAAACTGTGAATATTTAATGGTGGGTTGTTGTGGCCTAACACAAGGCATAGTGGAAACCATTTCCCCTGAAATAGACATACGACTCGTCAGAACCCCTGAAATGCTGCCTACAGATATTGTGCCTCAGTGGGGCTAATAGCTGACTACTCATAAAACAGAGTACATAGAATAACGTGCTACCCTCTGCATTGCTTTCCTGGCCTTGCTAGACAGTACTTTATAATTTGACGGCCATTTGTTATTGCTACCAAATCTACAGCATATCAGTGTTCAAGTACTCAAGTGGTTTGGCCCCAAAGCTGATGCTACTGTGATAGATTTTTTTTTCTTTTTGGGTGGGGGGAGGTGGGGGTGGGGGTTGTGGGGGCGGTTTTGCTGTGTGAAGAGGTGTTGGTAAATGAGTGTTTGTATCCAGAGACATTTTCCCAGAAGGCTAGTTTGTAAAATCACCAGCGTATTAATGGGAGATGGACGCAGGCCTTTGGAAAAAGTGGCGTGATAGCGCTAAACCACAGAAGAATTACTGAACCGTGGGCCTGTGTGTGTCAATGAGAGGCGTAGTATTTTTTTTTGGGGGGGGGTGACAGTAGCTCACATTCTCTTGCTCTGCCTCAACCAGAATTCAGTGGCGAAAAGTTTCATTGGATGTCAGACATGGGAACCGCCTCCCATATCATGAGAGGTCGTGTGTTAGGCCCCCTGCTCGTCACTCCCTGTCTGTCTGGTGAGGGTGTGCCGTATACCAGTTCACAAAACAAAATACTGCCCTGTGTTGGCATTTGTCGTTACTTGTGCAGATGGTCGTCCTCCTGTACTTCCACTTTCCCCGGGGGACATAAGGCCATACCGAGACCTATTTTTCATTTTGTCTTCTCTAAACCATTCCAATTGACGACTCAAGTAGGCCCACTGTTTTGGAGTAGTTTTTTTTTTTCCTCTCCTCAGGGCTCCAGGCCTCACATCAACATTATCATCTTCATCTTCATTGTGTGGGGGGAGAAGCAAGGGGGTGTGGCCAGCAGAGAATGACCCTCCCCCTGGACTCCAACCTATTCTAACTGCTGCTGATAATTTTGCTGCTTCAAAGAATGTTCTGATGGGTTGGCCTAGACCTCAACAAGTATGGTATTGGTTACATGCCACAGAGAGGTGGTGGTAGGGTGTTTTCGGTGTGAAAAAGGCTGCTTTTGTGAGTCCAGAACTTCATCCAAATTACCCATATGTGGGGGAAAAATGTTCAAGGTTTAACCACCAGTCTGATTTGGCAGAGCAAAGGATTTGGGTGGTGCATTGCAGGAAAAAGAAACACAATTGGAGAGGAAGTGAGTTAGAGATTTTGTCCAAGCTGTTTAAAGCAGAGATGTTAGATACAGAACTCCCTTTTTTTCAATGATTTGGAGATTTTTTTTTTTGTATTTTGGAGAAAGGTTTGCGGTCCAATTCAGGAGAGACCTGGTGGTTCAGAGTAAAGGCACTTAAATATTCTTTATTTTGTTTTGAAGAAAGAGCTCCAGGGAACTGAAATTAAAAGGACAGCAATGGAAATTGGGTCAGTGAAGTGGCACATTGCTGGATAGAATCGCTTTTAGTGTGGTACTTGTTTAAAAACACAGTCCAGATCACCATTCTCCTACAGCCTTGTGCTTGTGTTGCGTATGTATATGGGTGCGAGTGTGTCACACTTAGGTGTAGTGTATCAAGTTTTTAATGTCTTTAATAAAAAAAGATAACAGTGCTATTTATTTTTTTTTCCTTTATTCCATTCACAGTGATGAAATGGACATAAGGTTTGGTCTGTTGCAAAGTGAATGTCAGTTTACATTGAATGCTGCCAGACTTCCTGCTTACACATGCATAAACACCAACGTACATAGGACAGCAATGTCCTGTAGATTACGGGTAGTCATACAACAGAAACAAAACAATAGATTTAAAAAAAAAAAAAAAAAAGTTTACAAAACTTTTTTTCATCATTTTTAGAGTTTAAAGTAGTGCTTGGTGCTTTGCCAGTCCTTTGGAAGCCTAGAGATGGATTAACTCATACAGTTTATCATTAGTATTATATTATTATTATTTTTCTTCCAGAGCGTTGTATATGCAAACCCCAGGTTTAGAGAAGATGAATTAATGTCTAAAATCGCAATAATGAATTTGAGGTTTTTTTTTTAAGTTTTCATTTTCCAGGCACTGTTATGTTTCCGTTGGCATTCCCACATGCTTTCAAAGGGGCCTTGATCTTCTGAAACACTTTTACCTTAATTGTGTGTGTTTCTTCAGTAAAATCCTTTAGTTCTGTGTCACTACATTGAAATGATTTGGGTAAACCATTTGGCTGGTACTGTTTCCTCTGGAAGGTTCTGTGTATGAGGGCTCCTGTTTTTTTTTTTTTTTCCTCCCCATACCTATACTTAAGGTGAGGATCACCTTTACACCTCTTAATGTGTGTCTGAAAAAAAAACTTAATGTATTTTGTTTTTCATAAATTTAGACTATTTTTTTAAGTCAATGAGAAAGAAGCCGTGCAGTTAGGGTTGTTTTTTTTTTTACAGGCACCTGTGGTTGAAAACAGCCTTGCACAGCTCCCCTGTCAGCTGGTTTTAATGCCCATTCACGCTGTTTCTAACGTTTTGACCAATTTGGCACAGTGTGCATACGGAGAATTGAGGGGTTTCGAAGATGCAGCATTCTGTGGGCTACTGACATTCAGACAGTGCACACCCAACTTTTTCCATTAGGATAAAGAGGATACTGGAGTGTGTGCGACACGGTCCCTTAGCCATTAACTAGTTTACAAAACTTGCTTGGGTAACCGGAATTAAGATGCAAGTATATCCAAGGACAGGTGCTTGTAAAGGTAACTGTTGTATTTACTGTAATTTGCTGGAATGGTGTAAAATTGAACCTCTGGAACAAGACCTTATGGGCACCAGTGGTGAAGTTGTGAGGAAATGCAGTGAAACAGGTACTTGAATGAGGGACTAATTCAATGCTGGCATTTCAGATGTACCATCTAAGGGAAAAAAAATACTAATTTAAAGTCTGTTGTTCTACATAATGTGAAGGCTCAACCCTACTCGCTACCACCCTGCCGTTTCACCATCTACATCCATCTACTCCACAGCACCTGAAATCCGAGGTTGTCATTTTGATTTTTAGACAAATTAAAACATCCATCCGTCAGATTCCAGCTGTGTCCCTTCAACCCCACCTATGGGCTTCTGTTCCCACCAATGAGAAAGAGGACACAGGGGCTCTGTATTGTTGCCATGGTTTTGTTTTTGCTTTTTCTCTTGGCGTTTCCATTTCCCAGCTTTACATCCTTGTAAAACTGTAGCTCAGTTTGGGCAATGCAATGTATGGACTTCAAAGTATAGTTACAACACTTGTTTATTTAAATAAATCCCATGCAAAAATTTGTCTTAACCTGACTCCACGCCTGGACTGTACAGTGAATATAGCAAATAAAATTCATAAATAGTTCAAAACCTAGTTTTCCAAAGAATTTTCCTCAATAACACTGCTCTAGTATGTCAGATTTATGGATTACCTTGGACTACATATTTGCTTATATGCCAGTTCTCACTTGCAGGTTTGAAGTTTTGTTGATGAATATTTCAATATTTCCAATCTGAATTATCATTTGCCTCAATTTTACCACTGGAAAGCATCATAGAGCTGACATTTAATTTTTTTCCAATTTTCTTTTTCTTGTTTAACAAAAAATTTAAAAAAAGAAAAAAAAAGATGGCCAATTTGTTACCAAGAATTTGCTGTGTGTAAATTATTCATACAAATTCCTGTGTTTATATTAAAATGATTCAGTAGATTGAGAAGGTTTTCAAATGTTTTTGTATATTCTGTTGTAAGAATTTATTCCTGTTATCAATATATTCTGAATTCTTTACATTATGGGGAAAAATAAACTGTCTATTTTGAATGGCTGAAGCAGAAGAGAATTTTAGTTTCTCTTATTCTTGCTTTTTCTAGTAGTTAAAGTACTACAAGATTTAAGTTAAATAAAAAAAAATCTGTATGCGACTTCTGTGGTTATCTGCATTTTCTTTATTGTTTGAGTACATTTGTGTTGACTACTTTTGAAAATGTCAGATGTGTATGACCAATGTCATGTATGAGAAATTTTCCTGGCGTAATCGTATGTCATACCATTGTAACTTTAAAAGACACAACAGATCCATGAAGAATTCACTGGATTGTAGATCCTTTGGCTAGGTTGCAAGGAGTAAGATGCTGTCACAGAAGAACATATACACAGAGGGAAGAAACGTGCATTAATCTCCACATACACAATCGTCTGATCTCACGTCTTCTTAAAATATTTTTGTTATATATATTTTAATGTGTTAAGATTTGTGCTGCGTCCTCATATCCCTGAAGTCAACTGTTTCACGTACTAAGGGGCCTGTAGACATTCTTTGCTCCATACATGGCCATATCTTACCGCCTTCCAGATTGACAGCTTTACTGTGTCCTGCTAGGAGCTCCAAAGCGGAAGTGCAGTTTGCCTTATAGTTATTTATTAGCTACTCTTATCCAGAGCAACTTACTTATGGTTACAGTTTTTACATGTTCTCTGTTTATACAACTGGATATTTACTGAGGCATGTTTGGGTTAAATACCTTCCTCAAGGGTACAGCAGCAATACCCCTGCGGGGAATTGAACCAACAACCTTTGAATTATAAGCCCTGTGCATTACCACTATGCTACACTGCCACCCATGCTTTATGTATAGTAGTGATGAAAAGGGTATGTGTAAATCAGTCTGAACAAGGTCTGAATACAAAGAGGCTATGTTCCAAATAATTAAATGGTGTTGGATATATGTTTATATTCAGCACTGGTAGTAATGTGTATCATTATCATTTAGAGATAGGACTTGTGATTTCATGATGTCTTGAGGTCCTCAACCACCAGGGGGCCCACAGATGTCATAACTTCTAGTCTAAGACACTCAGCACTGATGTACCTTAGTTCATACGCATTGGGGTGATCTGCGAGGTTTTCGGACACACCCACTGGATTGGAATAGATTTCTGTACCACTGATAGTTACACCATGCAGTTTCCAAAGAACAAAAAGACTCAGATCTGAAAATATTCTTTATAATAATAAAAAACTACAGGGCATAATGACAAAAATTGGACATATCATCAAGAGCTGTAATAAATTGTTGCATTTATCGTTTAAAGAGGATCTCCATAAATAAAACGTGCATGGGTGTTTTCAACCATAAATACTGTTAAAGCTTTCAAATGTTTATTTTAATGTCACTGAGGCCTTCCCAGCCACACTTTCTTCAAGTGAACCTTGTCCCGTAGGCCTACAGTCAGCGTGTCTGCTATATCCAGTTACATATTCAGAATTCAAACAATTTTACATGTATTATTACGGCTACAAACTTACATACTTTCAAACTATGCCAGTAAAGACATTAAGTGCTTTCACGTGAAAGGTTGATACACGTCTCTGTTAATATTATATTTATTTGCGTTTGGTTATACGTACTGACATTCACAATGTGAGTTTGAGAAACATGTCTGTAATGTAGCACATTTGTGGTCCTGTTTACTCAACAACGTAAAAAGACCTTCGAATCTGTGACATGAATGCGCATGAACAGCTAGCTGCGCATTAGGTGACACGCCCATTTTGTGTTAACGCTCAGCATCCATGTACAAGCTCCGCTTTGTGTATGTTCTAAGCACGGGCACAGTCTCCATCGCTAACCCCAAACATGTTTACGTGTTTTAGACCTAGAACACTGTACAATCAGCGAGTCATGCTGTTTCAGTAATTACACTGTTGTAAATATTCAAGCAATAATTTCAAACACACTGTATAAACGAAGAATTAAATTGTCCATCATGTTAGTATATCCGTATTTGAAAGAATCTTCGATAGCCTATCTCGTATGCGGCCATCGTGTCATACATAGTCATCATAGCCATGTCAACCAGTGGCTTAGTGTTTTTTTTTTTTTCTTGAAATTATAAATTATATTACTATCTGCAGATTTAAAGAAATCCTATGTATGAGTAAGAATCTGTGTTTCCGTAGTGTAGTGGTTATCACGTTCGCCTCACACGCGAAAGGTCCTCGGTTCGACCCCGAGCGGAAACAATTTTACTCACGTTTCATAGCTGTATTGTGTCAGTGGCCTTACTTGTTATTCAAGAAAGTATCACCAGAATGCATCTGAGGAGGCTAGTTTACAATGTCCTCAGAATAATTATTGTAGAATGTGTATGGTTTCAACATAAAATTGATAAAATAGAATCCTGATAGATGAATCTATATTAAGGATGCACGAGATTTTACCATGCTTATGCAGTACTCTGAGCGGAGCAAAGGGGCTGGAGCAGCGATACAGCTGTTTACACCATGTTATTTAAAATGCAGTAAAGGTCTTGTTGCTGTGCAGAAGCACTGTCAATTTTAAGTGTAATGATCTCCACATTTGCTACGGTGCGGCATTCTCACAGTATTGATTTTGTTGAAATTACTGATATCATGTGAAACCCCTGTCACTCATTATAAATCTGGGAAGGCGTTGCATGTTCGTGGCTAATTGCAGACGGGTAGTCGATCATTACTCGCTGCACTTACGATATCTTTCCACTTGGGAGTGCCATTCCATCAAAATGCTAAGGAAGTTTTCATGCCTATTTCACTACCAATTGAATGGGTCATCTGAACGGATGATTTCATGATCCCGCCTCCCCTCGCTCCTTCTAGGGTGCACTTGTCGGCGCTCCCACTGTGCACTCGCATCACTCACTTGCACGTAGAAGCTCTCCGCACATATCACGAGCGATACGTTAACAGAATTCTGGATTTAAGAGGGGGTGATTGAAAACCAGGTGTCATTTTATTTTATGTTAAACTGAAATATAAAAAAAGATGTTTCAGTTTAGGAGATCCTTTGAGAACGAAAAGCTTCAACTGCATGAGCTCAACAAGAGATTAAGCCAATACCTGTCCAGAGTGAAGCAGCTGGAGCAAGAAAATGCCTTCCTTATAACAGAAATAAACACCATTAGACAGGACAAGACGGTGGGATGGGAAAACCAATATATGACGGAATTGCGTGACCTCAGGAAAGCGGTGGATCAACTGGCTTTCGAGAAGTCCAAAGTGGAGATGGAACGGGAGAAGCTCTGGAAAGAATTTCAGATGGTCCAAGCCCTTTGCCGCGAGCAGTCGGGGCTCTGCAGAAACATCGACGGAGAGCTGAAAGGCTGCGAGAAGCAGTTGCATGAAACCCAGAAGACAAACTGTGCACTGGAAGAGCGCCTCTTCCAGCTCGAGAATGAATACAAGAGTCTAGGAGATGTCCACCGGCAAGAAATCGCCCACCTCCGGAATGAGGTCTACTCCAGGGCAATGCCCATTGTCGCCCAAAATTATCACGCTCCCCCGGCGCTCTCGATGGAAGAAATCGAGGAATATGCGCAGCACCTATCGGAGTGCTGGATGGAGACTTTTGAAGTGTACCAAAGAAAGGTCGAGGAGCTGGAAGACTCCATCAGAGCAGACGAGGCGAAGCTAGAGGATCTCCAACGGGAGAAGATGCAGTATGCATCCGAGCTTAAGAAACTCCACTCGGAGGCTGAAAAACAAGCCAAGCTACAGGCACAGCTCGAAGAACAACTTGCGCACATGCAAGACAGCTGTCACTTAGAACTAGACGAATATCGGGTGAGTTTACGCGCCTCTCCATCACTCTCTTGAAACACAAATGTGTGTTTTCGTTGCACATGCGTGAAACACAGATTTAAAGGCGTAATTACATATTCGCGTTAGAACAATATATATTTTATTTATGTGAAGATATAACAGTTAAATAGACTTCTGGAAAGAATATTAAGATGAATATAGTTCACCTTTGCAAGCTTTTGTTGCTGATGCGTAGGTCAGCCCCATTTGTTTTCAGTGCCACACCCACACTCTGAAAACCGAAGCGTAACGCGTCTACATAACGTGCACAGGCCTTACCAGTTCGCTTCAGCGTGTGGCAGTGGGGGAGATTTAAGAGAATACTGAATTTAATACAAGACAATATGGAATATGAAAATATCTAATATGAAACCAACATTTTGTATCCAAATACTGATCAAGAATTTTCATTATGTCGGGTAGCACACATCATATATTTCTCACTTTAGGAGAGAATGTGCACAATGTAGGTTTGTTTTGTTTAGGTTAAACTGTGTTTCAGGCTAACATTGATTTCATTTTCCTTCTTCAAATTTAACACATGGCTTTGCCTTTGGTATTGAGCAGAATTAATGTAAGACCTAACACATGAACTGTGCAGTAATACTAAGATCTTGAAGTGTTTAAACATCATTCAATTCCTGGAAAGTCATTCTTGAACTTGGACAAGGAGTTGTGGTGGTCAGTGTTTTCGGTACCTCAAATAGACCACATTTTCCAGCACCTGTTCCCAGTAGTTGTAGATGAAGTACATGGAGAAGTTTTAGCAAGTTTCCCCTGCAAGAACGGTTTAGGGCTGCATTTCACTTCAGACAGAAGCGCTTGGATTAGCCACATGGATGCTGTCAGCTAAAACAGTACAGCACTAAACTGCACAAGCCTCTTAAATAGCTTTGCCAGGCAGTCAACAAATCCTTATGACCTATCTTACTAGGGGCCAACGTACACCAACCGTGTCAATTAAGCCACTCTGACTGAATTTATTAGACGAGCATGTCTTAATCTCATTTAACAGCTTGATCTATGCTGCCAGAAAAAGAAGAAATTGCAACATGTTACCCTGAGGCACTTGCTAAAAGGTGCCACTGTTCTAGGAATATCTTGCAAATTCATCCTGAGACAATTCTGGACTGGAACGGCACGTCACTTGCTGCTCTCTGAGCGATACAAGAACTAGGCTAATGCCGATTTGACGCTAATCTAGTTAGCGAGCGGATGTTTTCAGTCTGGTTTCTTGGCTTTCACATTGATTTTGCCCAGGAGGTAGTCGATTTCAGTGCAATTAGATGTGTAAGTGAAAGTGGCTTGTGCCATGGGGTTGTAAACAAGGGCATGTGGCTATTACCTGTGTGTTTTCATTATGGTTTGTAGGTGAGAGTTCATCACTTAAATGTACCTGTTTGGTACGGTGTAATTCAGTAATTATGGTGTCTCACCTGAGCCAGTACGCTTGTACCTAAGTCAGAACCCTTTCAGACTAGTGCTATGAGTCAGTCCAATTTCTTTTGCCAGTGTGTTTACAGGGCATTCAGTGCAGGACTAAGAACTGTACAATGGTAAAACAGCAAGTACATTGGAACATACTTGTCCCAAGGCACACATTATACAGGTTGTTTACTAGATGCTCTTCACATTCAATTTATCCAAGTTGTTAGATCTATTACCCATGATTTGAGCAGGCTCTTGGCCAGTCAGCAATCCCTCTACAAGCATGTACTGACATTGAAATTGGGGGTGAGACAGAGAGTCTCACTTGGACAGCTGCACAGCAAGGCCGGCTCTGGCAAAAAGACAGTTTATCATCTCAGCGTCAGTGGAGGACTGACTCCTGGGAAAGGGTGAGGATTCACTTAAGAGCTGTTATGAAACTGTCATGCGATACAGTACATGCACCTTCTAAGGCATGTCTTTCATCTTGTTACAGTGTGTATCATTTTCTAAAGCATTTGGTATGACCTGGTTGACTTTCAAACTTCAGATCGGTAAAGGTAGAGGCA